ATCATCTCGTGCAGAAACTCCCTAAAACTCTACTTATCAAGAGCTTGTAAACTCAGTTAAGCCTCCATTGCTCTCTCTTGCCACCAGGTGTTTTTCGGTGTTACTTCTTTTCCCTGGACATTGCCGCCATAATAACCCCAGCCCTTTAGCTCAGCTAAATTGTTCTTAAATGTTCGGCCTGGGCGCCAGCTCAAGACGCGCTCCCACCGCGGGGCGCATGCTCCGCCTGGGCCACGTGACCCGCTTGCTCCCATTCTTCTTATAGGTGTGACCGGAGAAGTCTCTTTTCTGAGCAAGCAAGTCTGCCGTAGGCACGCTGTTTGCTTCCATGGCACCCTGTGTCTCCCCTATCGGCACTGATCACACGGTTTCTAATGACCTTTTGCTTATTTGTGTCCCCATTCGATGGTAAGCACCTTGTGACAACGGACCGTGTCTACCTTGTTCCCCACGGAATCCCCAGTACATAGGAGGTGCTAAATAAAAATTGGTAGCGTGACTGAAGGATTGATGGAATCCTAAACCGGCAATGCCTTTTTGGAAAACTGGCTACGTGAAATAAGAGCCTGTCCCTCACAGACGTCACATCCGGACTGCTAGAAGATCCGATATAGCATACAGTCTAGTGACAGCCTGCAGCTCATGCTCTGGGGTTGCACTGCCTGAGTTCAAACCCTGGCGCTGCCGCTTACTGGTTGTGTGGCCTTGGGGGAGGGGGTGGGAGAGTGGGTGTCAACCTCCCCATGCGTCCTCTTCCTCGTCTGTAAAATGGGAATAATAATAGTACCTACCTTATGAGGTTGCTATGAGGATTAAATGAGTTAGTCAAGTGCCTGTCACGTAGTAAGGGCTCAGTAAATGTTAGCTCTTATTATCTATCCACTAAACTGTTAGTTCTGTAATGGTAAGAATTTTTGTCTGTTTTGTTTACTGCTGTTATCACCTATGAATAGAACAGTGCTTGGCATCAAATAGGTGCTTAAAAAATATTTGTTGAATAAGTAGGCAAAATTCATGTAAAACTTTTTATTTCAGCATAGTCATAATTTAAAAATCTGTAAAAAATTCTAAATTTCCAACAATATAGAAAGGAATAAGGTAATAAATATTCTTGGAAAGGACTATGATCAGAAACAAAATTTTGCTTTTAAAGACTATTGAAATAGTGTCACACATATATTGTTTTGCCAGTTGATTTTTTGTAATAATAATATTTTCATAGGGCTTTAACAGTCCTGTTGGGTAAGTATTGTTCTCATTTTTCAGATGAGCTAACTGAGACACAAGAGTTTGCATAATTTACCCATGGTCACTTACGTAGTGAGTAAGGGAGTCAAGATTCAAATCCAAGCAGTCTCTTTCAGCATCCGTGTTCCTAACCTCTACCTCTGCTGCCTTAAAGAGCCAAGTGTGAAAATATTAAGGGAACAAGAGGAGAATATTTTTTAATAATCTAGTGGTTGGAAAGTTTTCCTAAGGAAAACACAAACATTATGAAATGAAACTCAGGCAAACTTAACTAGATAAAAAATGAAAATGTCTGCATTACTGAAGACTCCATAAGCCACGCTAAAAGAGGAATGACAGACTGGAAGAAAACATTTGCAACCTCTAAAACAGAGAAGAGATTAATATCTGGATTATATATGAAGGTCATAACAATCAACAAGAACATTATTCTGGGTGTTTTGGGATGAGATTAATGTTTAAGTCAGTGGACTTCAAGTAAAGCAGATTGCACTCCATAGTGTGAATGGGCCTCAACCTATCAGCTGAAGGTCTGAATAGAAAGAAAGACTGCCCTCCTGCAGGCAAGAGAGAATTCTCCAGCAGACAGCCTTCTGACTCAAACTGGAACATCAGCTCTCTTGGGTCTCCAGGCTGTAGGCCCATCCTGAAGATTTTGGACTTTCCAGTCTCCGTGATAGTGTGAACCAATTCCTTATAATAAATTCCTATATAATAAATGTTACACTGATATATTAATTAAAATATTATAAATAGATCTAAATGTAATATATTTATATAATGTAATAATAATTATAATTAATATATTAATAATAGTAATATAATTAATACTAATTAATACACATATATATCTTATTGGTTCTGTTTCTCTGGAGAATCCTGACTAATGCAGTCTATTAAAAGTTCAGGGAAGGGGCCGGCCTGGTGGCGTAGCGGTTAAGTGTGCACACGCTCTTCTTTCGTGGCCTGGGGTTCACAGGCCCAGATCCTGGGCACGCACTGACACACCGCTTGTCAGGCCATGCTGTGGCAGGCGTCCCACATATAAAGTAGAGGAAGATGGGCACTGATGTTAGCCTAGGGCCAATCCTCCTCAGAAAAAAGAGGAGGATTGGCATCGGATGTTAGCTCAGGGCTAATCTTCCTCACACGCACACACACACAAAGTTCAGGGAGGGGCACACACACATACATACATACAGTAATAGTACAGGATACACTGATAAAGCACAGGTTTTGCTTCATGGTAGGAGGCTTAGTAACACTATAGCCCCCCTCTTCTGCCCTGAATAATAGAAATGAAAGAAAAAATATTTTAATAAATCCCTTGCAGTGCTGGTAACCAAGAGGAGATTTCCTCAGTGGCCCAGAAACTATTAGGAATCCCTAAAAGCCAGAACTAGATTGTCTAACAGGACTTGTCAGTGACAAAGATGAGTACACAAGAATCCTGAGCATTTAAGGAACTCTAAAATCATAAAAGAGAGAGGCATAATGGAGAGAGAAGCCCCAAGAAAACAGAGTAAACAGAACAAGACTTCAGAAAAGTTAGTATTGCCAGAGATGAAATAGGACATAGCATCATACACATTAATCAGCTAAAGAGCTTGGAGATTAAAAACTTAATCTGAAATAAAATATGCACTAGAGGAGGCCATATTAGCAGCATGGATGCAGGTAAATATGAGATCAATGAACTGGAAGGTTGAGGCAAGGAATTCATTCAAAATGTATCTCCCAAACACAAAGATATAAAACATTTCAAAGGAAAATTAAGAGACAGGTCCTGAAGTTCCAACATCCATCAAATAGGAGTTCCAGAAGGAGAGAAGATACTGGAGAAAAGAGACTTCTCAAAGCAATTCTCAAAGGGATTTCCCAGAACTGATGTAGCCTCAGATGGAAAGACCTCACCAAAGACTTAGCAGAATGAACGGAAAAAGGAATATTGTAGTGAAATTTCAGAAACCAAGGATTAAGAAAAAAATTCATAAAGAAGACAGATTCCTTATCAACAGAATAAGCATCAGGTTGACTTCAGACTTTTCATCTGCAACACTGGTTGCAAAAATGTAGTGAAGCAATAGTTTCAAGTTTCTGAGAGAAAATGTTGAACCTAAAACGTTAAACTCAACCAAACTCTCATTTTCACGTGGAGGCAAAAATATACATTTTCACCCACAGACCCTCCCTGAACAAATTACTAGGGGATGTAGAAGAAAATTAATGTAAGAAGAAGAAGTTGGATACCAAAAGCAATAGTAAACAAGAAATGATTAAAATTTATTGGTAAGTTAAAAAGCCTATTGATTAAAAAACATTTTAGAATAATATTTAGAAGAATAATATGGAACTAAAATCTCAGATGATGTCCCCCAGCTCTCTCTTTCCCTTTCTCAGTGACCTTGGAAGCTGTGTGTCCCTTAGGGCATAGGTACAAGATGTCCCCTACATCACTGTCCAGAGGGCAAATGCCCAAGAGAGTGGCCCAACCTTCATCAGAACATGACGTGAATGATAAATAAGCCTTTACTGTGCTAATCCACTGAGATTTCAGGGTTTGCTATACCAGCATAATCTGCCTATTCTGATGGATATGCCTTGTTACCTACAGGCCCTGCTGTTGGAGGGCTTCGGGGCAGTGGGAGGTAGGTGGCAAAGAGACAATGGGCCCAGGATAGGGCCAGGAAGGTGGGACTTTGAGGATGAGATTCTCATAGGCTCAAAGAACACTCTAAGTTGAAGGGGTGGCTGTGGCTGCTGTCAGTATGTCCATGTCCCCTTATGTTCCCATCCCATTTCCCAGTGTAGCCATTTAATGGAAAGAGCACAGAACAGATGCCAGGAATTCTGATCCTGGTGTTGTTACTCCAAGGCTGTGTGGCCCTGGGCAAGTGTCTACCCCTATATGGCCGTAGTTTCTTCTTCCTTAAAATGGGGGTAACATCCCTACCTGGTGAACTTCTAATGAGACAAAAGGTGAGAAAGTTGTGGGAGTATTTAATGCATTGACCAGAAGGAGGCTCTAAACTCTTCGACCCCTTCCCCTGCTCTAGGACCGTCCTCACCAGGTTCCCATACCCCAGGCTAGGATTTGAGCTCAATTATTGCTTGGTGAGTGGGTCAGTATTGATGTTTCCTTCACGGTCAGTCCCTGTCCTGGGCATGTGCAGCAGGCTTTCCTGTGGTGGGGAGATGAGGGGCTTATTGCAGTTTCTGGCAATGGCTAGACAGGGATAGAAGGTGCCTTTCAAGGCTCCTTGCAGGATGATAGAGAGTGGGCACCTCCATTGCCTCTATCTAGAGTGGGCCCTAATGGCCAGAGGGGCCCCCTCCACTCCCTGAGAGCCCTGCACTTTCATCCAATGCCTGGTCAGCCAGGGATTGTTTTTATGAGCTCTGGATTGGATTTGGTCCAAACTGTGCCCCTAACTGTTGGGTGACTTTGGACAACCCCCTGGGCCTGTCTTGCTTAATTTATAAGTTGGAGAAAGCTGTACTCAAGGATCTCAAAGGCATCTTCCAAGTCAAAATGTCATAGAATCTTTGACTTTCTTTTAATGGAATCTAAGTCATAATGGAATCAAGCAAAGACAGAATGCAGAACACTGAACCCATCACACAGACCCTCATTTCTCAAGGACAGCCATGCAGAAGAAGCTGCCCTGTCTCGTTCCTGCTCAACCTCCTCTTCATCGTCCTTCTTCCCCTGCCCCGGCTTGCCTTCCAGCTCCCTCCCTTCCTCCTGTCCTGCCTCTTGCCCCTATGACTTCTCTATCTCTTCACCCTGTGCCTGCCTCAGTCACCAGTTACTCAGACCAACCTCGTCCTCTTCCTGCCTCGTGTCCAGACCGTCTCCCTCCTCTTACCAGCTTCACCCCTTCCCACCTCCCTGCCTGGGTCAACTCCACCCTTGCCTGTCCTCCTGCTCCTCCGACCACCTGCCTGCCCCCTCTCCCTCTCCCTTCCATTCGCCGCCCCTTCCGACTTGCTCCGCTCTTCTCCCACGCCCCTCCCTTTTCCCCTGCCCCCTCTCCTCACTCTGCTTCTTCCCCTACCTGCATGGGCCTTGGGCCCAGATAGGCCTCCCCTGCTCCTGCGAGGACATCTGCCCCAACCAGCCCTCACCAGGCCCAATGATTCCCACACTCCATCATGGAGGCCTTGTGTCCCCATTCCAGAACTCCCGGGCATGCAGTACCCAGCATCCTGGTGACCTGCAGACATGGGGGACACTGGATGACAACCAGCAGGCATACGACCTGGAGGGGCACCTCCCTCAGGTAAAGGCCTCTTTCCCAAGATGGGGTTCTTAGCCACCCCCATGTGTTGGTTATCTTGCTGCCTGAGTTCAGTGTGTGCCTCCATTCCCATTCCTTACATCAAGTATAAATGGAGATCAGAATATTTTTATGTAAGAGACTCCATAGGGAGTAAAGCTTAGGGCAAATTGCGAGTGGACTCTGAATTCCTATTATCCCTGTTCAGCTCAACACTAGGTCATGGACCCTCTGATAGACACACAGACACACGCTGTCCTGCACCAGCAGTTCCCATCACCTTAACCCTGTACAGAGATCAGCACGGAAGTTCAAGGCAGCTTTGGCCTGACAACGGTGTGACTGGAGTGTTCCTGAGGTGTTCTGTTTTCCCAGCTCTTTCATACACTCCAAAAAACTTGGTTTGGATCTCTTTGTTTGCTTCTATATCATGTTGATCAGTTGAGGTCCATTTGGCCATAGAATACATTCATCTTGGGATGAGGAAACATTTTTTTTAACCTCAGAAGCAGAGGACTGAAGTCATCATTCTCCTCATTTCATAACATGCTTTTATCATTGGCCAGTGCAAGGCCCCACTCATTTTATTTAGTTATTCACTTTCATGCCCATTTCTCACTTCTACTCCCCCCATAAAAAACTTCTAAAAATATTTTGATATGTATGTGTATGTATTCTTGTAAAATATAGGGTGTTATTTTGTGAGCTGTATTTTAAATTTTCATACATGATATTATGCACTAGACTTCATTCTGTTTACTACCTTTGCACTCAGCACTCTGTTTTTAAGATCTGTCTATGGTGTGTATGTCATCTGTGCTTCTGACTTCTACACTGTATCCTGCCGAGTGTCTCCTGCATGTTACAGTCATCCATTTCCCCAGTGACAGATGGACACCTGGCTTACGTCTAACTCTCCACCATGACGGACAATTCCCAAACGACCATCCTTCTACGTGCCCACTTTTGATACCATGTGAGAGTTCTCTGGGCTAGGTGCCCAGCACTGGGAACGCTGAGTTAAAGGGTGCTCCAGTCCAATCTTCCATCATTCACGTACAAAAGTTCTTGTTGGGATGAGAAATCGTTCATTATACATATTCATAAGGCAAGTTCAGCAAGCTCCCCTGGGCCAATGATATGCCCAAGATCTAGGAAGTGAAATAATTTTATCAAACCCACCTCAAGATAACTTTTGGCTGTCTTGAAGTGAAGACTTTTATAACCAGCCTACGTTTTACAGATTTTCCTGAATCTCAGTAGATGTTCTTGATCAATCTCTGGAGTTTTGAGACAAGTACACACATATGAATCAAGACTATAGACTCTCATTTGACCACCAGCGCCAGCAAACATTGGCTAATGGGTCAATGCTCATTGATAGGCTTTATCTGTGAAGGAGCTGTTTGCCAGCCTTCTTCTGCGACTTCTTCACAACTTGTTCTTATAACTATTAGTATTACCAATTACAGTTCTTACTGTTATACGTCAATCCATAATGCCTTGTACTTTCAGAAGCTGTTGGGATCTTTAGCAAGTTCCTTTTCGTTAGGCAGGTTGCTCCTCCTGTGTCCCTTATCCCTGCCTGGTTGGTTGGCCAGTCTTGAAGGGCAACTCCCTCTGTAATTGTCCTCTTACACCACCTGGGCCTATGGCCAAACCATGGAGGATGCAAGACCAGTGATGGCTGGGCTAGAGAAGAGTGCAGGGGCCTCCCCTCAGGCAGACCATGACTGGAATTTCCTGGGTAACTTTCTTCCGGGCGCACCATCTCATCTTATCCCAGGAATAATCCAGAATAATCCTCTATGACCGTCAGGGCTTTCCCACTCTGAGAATTCACCTCCTGCAGGGAGAGAGAAAGTTTCCAATGATCCTGTCAAAGCAATGATCCTCTCAAATGGCCCTTACCCTGGAATTTACACGGTAGCAGGGTTTGGAAGGCGCTGGTAGTCGAGATCCTACACAACCATCAGGATCTGATTAACAGATGATATTTCAAAAATAGACATTACTGAGATATAATTTATATAAATATAATGTATCCGTTTTAAGAGTAGAGTTTGATGCATTTTGGTAAATGTATACACCCACGTAACCATTACCACAATCCAAATAGAGAACATTTCCATCATCCCCCCAAATTCCTTTATGATCCTTTACAGTCAATACCATCCACCCCAAATCCTCAGGCAACACTGATTGACATTTTGTCCCTATAGATTAGTCTTGTGTGTTCTGGAATTTCATGTAACAGTATTTACCCTTTTGTGTCTGGTTTCTTCCATACAGCATGCTGTTTTTGCCATTCACCTATGTTGTTGTGTATATCAGTCGTTCATTCCATTTAGTGCTGAGTGGTAACTCATTATATTAATATACCACAAATTGTTTTTCCATTGCACCTGTTGCTAGATATGACAGTTATCAACTTGTTGCCTCTCAACTCCAAATCTACCCTTCATTACCTGCTTTGCAGTGGTGGGACGGCTCCTTTAAGCATCTCTCCTTTGCAGTGAGAACAGTATTGAGCTGTGTCAGTAGATGGCGCTGGAGGGACACTGCAGGAGGAAGAAACTTCTCTCCTGGGTTCAACGTGCGTCTCTTTGCTTCTCTTACTCTGACTGCACTGCTGGCAGAAGCACATGCGTGGGAACACCGATTAGTGTTCTGCCCCAGCTGGGCATTCAGAGCACGCAATGCCTGTGAGCTCACAGCCCCAGGCCTAGCCCAGTGCCCACCTTAATCCAGCCTTCCCATCGTGGACTCTCAGCACCTCAGGCCTCACACTGCCCTGCTGGTGAATCAGAGGGCTGTCCTGTGTGCCAACCTGCCAGCCTCGGCCCACCAGCTCCCTGGGGGGTGTTTCCAGTGGCCCTCCAGACATGGGCACGTGCATCCCAGGCCTTCACCACTCTGCCTGCAAGTAGGTTCTTGACTTGGACACGCCCAGGGCACTGTCTGCCAGCCTCTGCCGCCAGTACCCCAGAGGGACGTTTCCTGCTGACCTGGAGACTATGGACCAGGCCTAGCTTGGGCTCCCAGCACACTTCACATCATATTATGCGTTTTTCAACAAGGTATGAATCCCAGCTTGAAGGAGAGGGCCCCCTTCCAATTTATTCTTCCCTGGGGAGTCTCCCTCAGCCTTAAAATATTCTGTAGAGTTCTCTATACACCTTCACAGTTACTCCCCTGCTACAGTTAATAATTTTTAATGTGAAAATTTCTGTGTTCAAATTACTGTGTGGTTTTTGTATTCTGACTGAACCCTGACAGATAAGACATTTGTATTGTTTCCAATTTGGGCTATTATGAATAAAGCTGCCATGAGCATTTTTGTCTTTGAGTGGATCTATATTTTCATCGATAAATTTTTCCTGATAAATACCTGAAAGTGGAATTGCTGGGTTGTGAGGTAAGTGTATGAGAAATTTATAAGAAATTGCCAAACTGTTTTCCAAAGTGGTTGTACCATTTTATATTTCCATCAAAAATGCTGCTCCACATCTCCACTGACACTAGCTATTGTCAGTCTTTAATTTTAGCTATTCTAGTGGGTGTGCAGCTGCCTGATGAATAATGGTGATGAGTATCTTTTCGTGCACTAACTGGCAATTTGTATATCTTCTTTTGTGACACATCTGTTCAAATCTTTTGCCCATTTTTACTTCAGTTGTCTTATTAAGTTGTCCTCTTATTATGAGTGTTTTTTTTTTTTTTTTGGTGAGGAAGATCAGCCCTGAGCTAACATCCGTGCCCATCTTCCTCTACTTTATATGGGACACCACCACAGCATGGCATGACATGTGGTGCGTTTGTCTGCACCAGGGATCCAAACCTGCGAACCCTGGGCTGCCAAAGCGGAGCATGTGCACTTAACCACTTGCACCACTGGGCAGGCCCAGGTGAGTCTTAATTTCTTCAAAGAGAAGAAATTTTAATTTTGATAAAATGAAATTTATCTTTTTATTTTTATCTTAGTGTTAGTGCTTTTTATGTTCTAAGAAATCACTGCCTACCATAAAGTTGTGAAGATTTTTTCCTATATTTTCTTCTAGAAGTTTTATAATTTTAACTTTCAGGTCTATGATCCATTTTGAGTTAATTTTTGTGTAATGTGAAGTAATGTGAAGTAATATTTTTCCATTCAAATATCCAGTTGTTGCAGCATTGTTTGTTGAAAATATTATTACTTTGGCATCTTTGTCGAAAATCAACTGGCCACGTGTAAGTCTATGTCTGCATACTGTTCTGTTCCATTGATCTATATGTCTATCCATTGTTACCTAATAGTAAGTCTTCAAATCAGGTAACAGAAGTCTCCCAACTTGGTTCTTTTTCAAAATTGCTTTGGGTATTCAAGGTCTTCTGAATTTCCAAAAAATTTCAGTATCAGCATGTGTCAATTTCTTCAAAAAGCATGATGGAATTGTTACTGAAAGTGCATTGGATCTAGAGATAAATTTGGGGAGAATTCACATCTTAACAATATGTGTCTTTCAATCCAGGAACATGGTATTATTAACTTTCCATCTAGTTAGGTCTTTAATTTCTTTCACACGGCACCTCTCTGACCATTCTTCTGCAATCACATCTCCTTTCGATCACAGCTGCGAAAAGTTTTCCACTTTTAAAGACCCAAGTGATTAGACTGGGCCCACCCAGATAATCCAGGATAATCTCCCTATCTCAAAGTCCTTAATTTAATCATATCTGCATAGTCCGTTTTGCCATGTATATTAACATATTCACAGGTTCTGGGCATTAGGATGTGGGCATCTTCAGAGGGGCATTATTCTGCCTACCACACGCAGTCACAAATAATGCTTCAATGAATATCCTTGTACCTGTCCCTTTAACGGATCCATATATAAATGTACTGGTCATAGGGTCTGTAAATAATTGGGTCGGGTAAAGTCAGATTGCTCTCCAAAATGGCTGCACCAACTGTATCTCCATGTCTCTGTCATCATTTGGCATTATCCAGTCTTCTAATTTTTGCCAGTCTATTATAGGTATAAAGTGATATCTCATTATTGTTTTAATTTGCATTTCTCAGATTATAATGATTCTGAGGCTATTTTCATATGCATATTAACTTTTGGAGTTTGCCTGTTCATTTCCTTTGCCCATTTTCCCAGTGAAGTTATCTTTTTATTGTTGATTTGCAGAACTTCCTTGTATATTCTAGCTATTAATCCCTTGCCATTTTTTGACATTGTAAATTACCATTCTGTAATCTGTCAACTTTTGCCCATGATGTTATTCATTAAACAGAAATCCTTACTTTTAATATAATCACATTACACAGTTTTTAATGTATGATTTGTGCTTTTAAAACATTAAAAGTTCTTCCTTGCTTTTAGTTCAGAAAAATATTTCTCTTACATTTTCTTTTATTAATTTTACATCTTACCTTTCAATTTTGGGTCTGTTAAACCATCTACAGCTTATCTTTGTATCTTGGTTTAGGTAGGGATTTTTTTTTTTCTTTGTCCAGATAGTGAATCAGTTTTTCTAACACATATTTTAAACATCCCATTTTTTTCCTATTGTTTTAAGTTGCCCCCTTTGTCATATATTAATTTCCCAGATAGACATGTGTTTATTTTTGAGTGTTCTCTTCTTTAAACAGAAATTGATTTAACCGTTCATGGACTTGTATTATTGTATGTAAGTTGTAGATTTACTTTAGTTCTTAACATACTAACTGAAATTTTTATTTAGATTACATTGTATTTATAATTTGGAAAGAGTTAATATCTTTATATTAAACTGTCTTATCCAAGAACAGGGAATGTCTCTTCATTTATTCAGATCATCAACTCTTCTACCAGAGTTTGAAAATTCTCTCCATAGGGGTCTTATATATTCTTAAATAATCCCTACTTAATTTTAATTGCTATTGTGGATAATATCTCGTTTATTGTTTTATTGGTTATAGCTGTTAGAGAAAATGCAATTGATTTCTGTAGGGTGACTTTGTATCTAGCAACCTTGCTGAATGCTCTTATTCGTTCTAATAATTGATTGTTTTTTAAAAATTAGGTAGTGATGAAATTATCTATAAATGATAGTTTTATCTCTTCTCTTTCAATCCTTTGCCTCATTTTTTCTTTTATGGCATTGCACAGGACTCCTAGAACTATGTTAAATGGTAGCAATGATAGTGGGCCTCCTTGTATTGGTCTTAAAGAAACTGTGTCAAAAGTGTTTTCATTAACATAATATTTGCTGTAGGTTTTTTGGTATATGAGTTTTATCAAATTAAGAAAGTTACCTCCTATTTGCTAAAAGTTTTTATTATGAATAGAATTAAACTTTACAAAATGCTTTTTCTGTATTAGGATAATTATATGATTTTTCTCCTTTAGTCTATGAATGTGGTGAATTACAGTGATGAATTTTTCTGACAATAATGAACCATGCTTGCATTCCTGGGATAAACACTACTTGATTATGTTGTATCATTTTTTAATACACTGTTGGATTTCATAGTTTGTATTCAGGGTTTTTGCATATACTCCATTCTATTTCTATTTTCTTAGTATTTACTCTAGATTTTAGAATGGATACTTAAGGAAGACTGAGGTTATTCAATGTCTTTAGCCTCCTCAAGAACGTTCCAAGGACCAACTTATGTTCTATCATTGTCTGATACTTTAGTTCATGATTATATTTTTAAATTTTACAAATTAAGCAGTTATAGTTTTACCATCTGTGTATGTTAACATTTAGTAATTTTTAAAACCTATTTCTTTGCTCACTTTTCCTTTTTGCATCTCAGCACTTCCACCTAGAAACATTTTCCTTAATAATAGCAAACACAGCATCACTATGTGCCAGGCACTGTTCTGAGCACTTCAAAATATTACCTCATCTTAACCCTCCAATAACCCTGTGAGGTATGTGCTATATTCCTTCCATCTGAAGAACATCCTTTAGAATTTCTTTCTCTGGGTCTCAGTTTTTGTTGTCTGTCTCTTTTGTCCTTTTTTTTTGAAAGATTTTTGCCAGCTAGAAGCTTAGAAGTCCTTAAATTCATGCGAGTGTATGGGATGCCTCAGGGAGCAGAAGTGGAAAGGAAGTTAAAGAACTCGGGGCGGGGGGGGGGGGGGAGCTCATATATTGGCCTCATGAGCCTTCTCTCAAGAGATGGTGCCCACTGGAACCGCAAGGCCAAGGGCCAGAGCCAAAGCAGTGGCAGTCACCCCAGAAGGCTCTCAGAATGCACAATGCCAGCCTTTCCCACAGCAAGCAAGGACTACGACATTGCTACACTTCCTTTATCAATATTCTGCATCCCTAGACCCAGCCCTGGGGGGACAATGGCTTTGCCCAGAAGTGACTAAATGTTAACATACCTTTCTGTCCCTCCCTGAGGCAGGGAGGGGAAGCGGTGCTGCAGGGGTCAATGGCTGCTGTAATTCACAGCACTGGAAGTCAATATTTACTGCCAATATCAGGTGTGGCTGAAATAAGCAAGGTTGCTCCAGCCATACGCCTGAGCGGAGCTGCTGGACCCAAGAGCTCAGAAAGAAATGAACAGTGGGTCGAAAGCAGTGGCTTTAGCTCCATCTTACCTTCCCCTCTCTTTGGCTCTGGGCATCCCTTGTCTCATGTGTGGGGATAGAAGGCTTTGCGGCCTATAAGCAGGGACCCTGGGAGACAGAGCTGGGAAGCTGCCTGGACCAGTCAGATTCCATGGCCCAAGGAGATCGCTGTGGCAAGAGTTCCTGAACAGAAGTGAGAGGCCCAGGTCAGATCTTTCAGGGCTTTTTCTGAGATGTACTGCTCTCTTCTGCCTCTCAGCCAAGGCATCTTCCTCCTCCTGTTTTAGTCACCTGGAACCCTGTTTTCTCTCTCCTAGAATTAAGAACCGTCTACAGAAAGCAACACACGAGACCATTTTCAAACTGATTTTAATCATTTTTTGCTGCTCAAATACTGTACATGCAGAAGCCATGTGAAGAATTTTCTCGTCAAGGGAATTGGCAAGAACGTAGGAAACAGCCGGCAGTGCTTCTCAGCTGTCCACCTGCCACCCAGGAGCAACAATGTTTGGAAAGATGCTGCACATAGAAAATGTATAGAGCACAGATATAAAAGGCTAATTGCTTCTCATCTAAACAGTGTGCTTGTCAGTCCCTATCAGCTATCTCTTTCTTTGCAGGATGTATTTGGAAATTCTAAAAAAGGGGTTCCTGCCTCCTGTGAATTTGCATTCTAAAGGAGTGGATAGGACAATCAGGCCAACTTTTCCTAAGGAAGCAGCCACTCTGCCTGCTGAGATATGTCTGGTAAAAGACATTCTGGGGAGAGGAGTGGTTTTAAGAAGCAAAATGCTTTGAAGGGAAATAAGTTCCCTTCCTCCTCCCATCAGAGAGCATTTCCTTTAAAATTCTCAGATGTTCAACTCTCCCACTGATGTCAGTCTAGAAGCAGAAATGAGGACCGACCCAGCCTCATCTGCGGGTGGGGATACACAGGATGCAGCTGAGGTTGTGACATCACATCAGCACCTTGAAAATTGTCCATTGTAGACAACCCTTAAGTATTTCTCATCATTACACAAGAAGAAAAGAGGGAGAACAAATCACAGAGGTGGAAGCAGTCTGTTAGGATTACCAGAGTTCTTGTCAGAGGCAGCATCTGGGCGTGGACAAGGAGGATCTGCACCCAGCTTGGGCACCCGGGGCTGGACGAAACCAGCCTATGGAACCAGGTGCCAGGTGCACCAGGCTCACAACCCTCATCAGCTCCAGATCAGACTTTTAAAACCTGGAGAGAACCATGGAGCAACTAGCAAATGCTCTGATTTTGCAGATGAGGAAGCTGAGGCCCAGCAAAGTGAGTCGTCTTGCGCAGAGTCAGTTTCTGGCAAAACCGTATATAACAGCCTTTGATTCCCTGTAGCCAGCTGTCAGGCCACTGACCAACGGGGCAGGTGCTCTGTTGCCCGGGGAATTCCCAGGGCCTATTTCTGTTAGCCAAACTCCCTGGAACTCAGTCCCAGGGACGCTTCCCGGCACCAGCATGAACTCCTTGGGAGGCCCAAGGCCCCCATCCTCCTGGCCAGGTTTCCAGCCAGAGCCCGGGACAGTTTTCCCAAAGCAGTTAACATTCATGCTTTGCAACGAGCACTCATCCCAAGCCAATCCAGGCCCCTGAGGGAATGCAAGTTTCTCTCACTAGCGTGGCTTCCCTCACAGGCACAGCCTTGCTGGGCCCACAAAAGCCCCAGCTCAGGGTTGGGGGGAGAGGGAGTTGCTTTGCTACATGGAAAAATTAAGCCCTTTGTCAGAGAACAAGGTCCCACCATCAGGCAGGCCAACACCTGAGCTGCGGTTGTGCAGCTCAGCCAGTAGAGCTGGTGCCCAAGGAGGCCAAGTTGCTCTCTTTGGCATCACTGACATTGCTCTGAGATGCTCAGGCACTCTTTCAAAATAACCCTTTCCCAGCCAGACCCGGCTGATCCAGCCCCCATCAGGCCTCACCTGATGGGACGGGGCTCCCCTGCCCTTCAATCACGATTGGTTGGTTTTGCCCCAATCTCTTCTGACCTGAGTGAAAAGCAGACTTGAGGGAGCAGGCAGGGGACCAGTCTACATTCCCTTCTCCTCCCTGATCATTCAGGGAACGATCATCCAGTAGAGGAAGCAGCATTTTAAAGAACCTCTTTACGTGTCAGGATGTTGAAGAAGAAAATGCTGAGGAGAGGAAGAGACAGGGAGGAGTCGACGGGCAACAGGTCTCTTCTCTTCCATCTCCTCACAGCCACTGCAGATACTGCTGGACAACCTCCTGGCCCTGAATGATGTGCCATCTCTCTCCACCCGGGTGGAGGACCACTCGTCTATAACATCAAGCAAAGGCAGCAATGTCTTGCACAGAGTTTGCACAGTGCAGGAAGCAATCAGAGAAACAGAAGAGCAGCCTTACTGAAGCCCTGCTGCTTTCTGGGCCAAGGAAGATGGGGAATCGGAGGTATTAGGAGCTCTGGAGCCCCAGGGGAGGAAGAGCATCTCCTGGGCAGCAGGGCGTGGAGCAAGAACCCTGGTTGCATGTCAGGGCTCCTGGTAACGCAGTCTAACATTGTGCTACATTTCATTTCCAAAGAAGTACCCTTGGAGGGCTCTATTGTCTTTAAAAGGGGAGGGGGTATCTGCTCTCCTCAAGGCTGGCAGTAAAGAAGAGCTCAGGCATGCTCACCCTGAGGAGTGTCATGCCCCTGGGAGAACTGGCTTGACCTCAGTGTTCTAACTGCCAATCCCAAGAGTGATGAGCTACATGGTGCCCTCTCTCTGGAGCTCCTAGGTTCTGCCTCAGCTCCATGAAATGCTGGCAATGCCTGGGACTTGCTGCATACCAAGAGCCTCCCACATGCTCCTTTCCTAGGAGAGCTGGGTGGTGGAAGAAATGGGATGCGGAGTAGTTTTGGAGAGGATTCTTCCCTGAAGGATCAAATCCCCCTTGTCAAACCAAGACTTGGCCCCATTTGCTGGAGGCTGATTCATACCAAAGACCCATCACAACTTCCCTGAGGGGAAGGAGTCTATGAAGGAGGTGAGACACATTGAACAGGACAGAAACGTGAAGACAGGTGCTCTGAATCATCCATCACGGTTCCTGCCCACAGCCCAGCATTGCCACAGGGCTACTCCCATCTCTGCCACATCTTCCACGAATCCTGCTTGAGCAGAGGAGGCTGGAATGACAAAAAGCCCCAGCCTGTAAAGAGCCCGAGGTTCCCTCTGGGGTAAGGGAGCATTTGGAGCCAGGATACTGTACCTGGCAGTGAGCTGGTCCCAGGTTAGGGAGAACTCGGCAGGGGATCATGTTCCTTCCCTTCCCACCATCCCCTCTTCAAAGGACAGAGGCCCCCCAACCCAGGGAAGGTCAGGAGTCACACACATGCTCCCTCCTCTCTTGGACAGGCCAGCTCCAGAGCAGCTTCTCAGACAAGCCTCTGTGTCCAGGATCCTGAGAAACAGGCCCTAAAACCAGCCATTCCCCCTCACACATACATGTCAGCCTCACTCAACTTCACCCCCTTGGGGGAAAATCCAGGTGGGGATTAGTAACTTATTTAGTGCAAAGGGTTAAAAAGAATAATTCCCCAAAGTCAACTTGGGGGGAATTACTTCCCATTAGAGAGGAGGAACAGTGGAGTGGCCCAACCCCTGGGCAGTTTTGGCAGCGGGTGATTGCAGGCAGGTTGGACAAGTTACCAACACGTCAGGCCCCACCACTGGCTAGAGCTTCCCCTGTGCTAACTAACCCACCCCCAGCGGCACAGGCACACAGCCTACAGCTCCCCCATGGCAGCCTCTCTGCTGGTGCTCATTGCCTCCTCTCTCTGTCTCCCTGGGCCCCTGGAGGAATGAGGGTGATATCCCTCATTGATATTGCCCTACTCTCTGGGGGTGACTGCATAGTCTGGGTATCACCAGTCGGTGCTACATAGGCAAATGTCTATACTGTCCTGGGGATCAATCACTAAGAATCCCACCACTCCACAGGTGTAGAGCATTTTCACAGCATCCTGAGGGTGGCTGCTCTAGAGGAGAAGACATCATAGCCAGGACATAAAAATGCCCTTTTGCGAGTGAGTTTCCTCCCTCTCCTCACCCTAGGGTCAGGGTACAGAGCCCTTTGCCTCATTTTAGAAAGTGAGAAATGCACGCATTATAGTCCCAACAATGGGAGAGAATTTCTGCAGCACGACCGAGCCGCCTCCCCCTCTCCTGCACACACACGTTCCCGTCTGTGATAATACAAGAACGGAGGCTCCGGCAGAAGACAGGAGCTCATTGTGTTCATTTCCTTACTGCCTTTACCCACTGTTTGTCTGCAGGCAGGACCGGTGGGGTCCTGGCTCCGTCCCCTTGTTTCCTTGGGAGGGAGGTTACAGGGATCTGGCTTCAGCCTAATGTGATCCCTGCCAGAAAGGAGGCCCTTTGGGTGGAGATGGCTTTATCTCCAGAGAGCTTCCTCCTCCATCCCTCCCTCAGAACCCACCTCTATGCCCACCGACTTTGGTTACGAATGGAGTCCCAGCACTCAGGCCCTGAGACCTCTCCACTGCTCCCCCGGCTAGCTGCCCCGCCTCACGTACCGTGCGTGGCTTACAGTCATTGCAGCACTACAGGAGGACGTCTGGGGAAGAGGTAGAGAGAGCTTGCCCCATACCCTGACCCCTCCTCTGCCTCTTTCTTCCCCACCAGACATGGACCCAAGGGCTGCTGTGTCTGTCTCCCAGGCAACCCCCCACCTTCCACCCTAGACCTGAGGAGGGAGAGGGACAGATGTAGGCATTCCTGAGCCAGACTTCAGGATTCCCAGCAGACATCTCACAAGGTCCAGTCCCGGCGTTGGTCTCCACAAACAGGGCCCAGCCTTGTCAAATCAGGTCAGGGTTTGAGTGGCTTTGGGAAGCTCCTACTAGACAAGGGTGGGAAGAAAGCAGAGGCAGGTGAGGTGCACAGAGCAGGCCAGGCCCGTCTCCAGAGGGCAGCGGCGGAGCGCAGGGAGGCAGGGAGGCTGAGAGCGGGGAGTATTGCTTGTACAGAGCTGGTGACTGTGGCAGTCTAGAACCCAAAGCCAGGCTGTCTGTGGAGCCAGGAGGCTGGAGCCCAGGTAAGTCTGAGCTCCCAGACAGAAACCCTGGTCTGGACATGAGCAGAAAAAAAATAAGAGGCCCAAATGATGGACTTCATGCAGCTAATCCCTAAAGGTTAGACGGGATTCTCAACAGCGGCTCAGAGCAAGTCAGCCCCCACTCTCCTAATTCCAGCAAACAGCGCTGCCCTCAGCACCTCCTCACAAGCCAGGCTCCACCAGGAGGAGCCCAGAGGGGGACAGGGCCACCCTCAGGGCCTGGGGAGGACACAGGTACCTCCAGGGATTATCTGCTTTGGCAGATAACATCCCCTCTGAGGCCGACCTCCTGGGTGTCAAGACCCTCCAGTCACACCTCCTGGGGTCCCCTGGGAGAGCTGCTTTGGCATGTCAGAGGTGAGGCAGCTTGGAGGGAGGCAGGAGGTGGAGAACAATGCTAAGGCAGGCAGGCACTTCCCTCTAAGGTACGCGGCCAGCAACCCTGGGAACTAAGACCTCCTCACATTTCGCTTGTAGGAAGGAGGCAGTCAGAGGGAGACAGCAACCCCCACGCTCTCAGCTCCCGGGCATCTTTGCTCTCTGGGGCCCGGGGCAGGGCACGAGATGAGCATGCTACATGCTGCGGGTGCATCCAGTGGGAAGAGCGGCCAGAGTGCTGGGGTGGGGAGGAGGGGTGTCAGGGTTCCCAGAGGGCCCTCAGCGTGGCCAGCGACGGGGACGCTACATTCCTCAAAAAGAGCAGCAGTGCTGGAAGAGGCAAAGGTGGGACAAAGGACAAGACAGAGACTAACTAGGGACCACCAAGAGGAGGCAGAGGCGGGGACACACAGGCTCTGCCCTGGACATGGGACCAGGCAGGATGGACCAATGGCCACGTCCCCCACTTCCACCCCTAGACTCGGGGAGTTGTGTCCACACAACACTCCTTTGGGTTTCTTTTCAACAAGACACAGAAAGACATGGACTTCAGCCCATGTAGTCACCAAGACTGACAATACCCAGCCAAATAAACAGATATAACGTGGTCACACACAAACACACACACACACACACTACAGTCTCCACTGCCAGCTGGGATGGGCCCAGTAGCCAACAGGCATGCAGCAGGGCAAAAGATCCAGAAAGACGTGAAGACTATGTACAGGGGAGGAGGTGGGGGGCCAGCAGGCACCCCTTCCCACACCGCATCCCGGCCTCTTCCTGAGGTCCTTAGGAGCACGAGGGGCTGGTAGCACTCTCCAGGGAGGACTGGGACAGGCGCCTGGTGAGGGATCCAAGCGTAGAATCTGCCACTGAGGACGTGGGGAAGAGTTTGTACCAGCCAGCCACCGCAGCACTCAGGTCCAGCTCGTCCAGCATGATCTGGGCCATGCCCATGAAGCACTTGTGGTCCATGCGGCCGTAGTCCCCCCAGACAATCACCTGCCAGTGGGGAGGAAGAGAGAGGAGCTGAGCCATCTCCTCGATTCCAGGGCTCAGCAGTGGGCCCAGGTACCTACGAGTTTTGCCTGGACACAGATGGGACAGAGAGAGCCAGAACTCAGACTGACTTTGGACAACAACTTACTGAGCACATAAGATGTGCCAGGCTCCGTCCTACGGACTTTACAGACATTATCCCAATTGTTACAACCATCTAGGGAGAGGTACTGAGTGTTATTATTTCCACAAAGAGGAAACTGCAGTTCAGAGAGGTTAATTAACTAACCCAAAGATACACAGTAATTCGTGGCAGAGCTGGGACTGGAACCTGGGTCTGACTTCCAGAGCCTCCCAGCATCCCAGATGACAGCCTTCCCCAGGAAGGAGCAGACTCAGAGTCCAGGACCTGGGTCACAGCTCCCACTCTGCCACTGCTCAGTGCCGTGGGGCTTGGCAAGCCCCCTGCCCTCACTGGACCTCAGTGTTCCCATCTGTAAAACTGGGAGAGGGGAATAGATTAGCTCTGTGATTTTCAAACTGTGTTTTTATTGGCGAATCCTTTTTTCAAAATGGAATCCCAATCCATATAAAAACAGACACCCAAGATTGCCCCTCCCCCCAGAACCCTAGGGTCTGCAGTTCTTGCCATTTGCAACTCCAAGGGCCCTTGCCATGGAACCACCTCAGCCCAGGGGAACAGCCCTAAATGAGAAATCGCACTGCCCAGACACCCCCACGCCCCCCACCGCTCCAGCCCCTCCTCTGCCACCTACGTGGCCTCAGGCAAGGCCAGCAGCCACCACCATCACTCCTGATACTCCGTGAGTAGCTGTCTGTGTGCCAGGCACTATGTGAGGCCCTCAAATGCATCTCTCGTCTAATCTTCACAACATACCAGCACAGCTAGTAAGTGATCGAGCTGGAACGTGAACCCAGGACTGAACCCAGAGACGACCTCCACTGTGCTCTGTTCCCACTTAACCTCTTGTGCCTCAGGTGCTGCATCTATGAAACGGGCGTGAGGATCCCTCCCTCCCAGGACTGCTGTGAAGGGCGCTGTCACTTTCATGTAGTTGGGGTGAAAGTCACCCTGGCCTGGGCTCAGCTCGGCTCTGCAAGTCGCTAGCTGAAACCTCAGGCAAGTCATTCATCTTTCTCAGACTGCTTCCTCATTTGTAAAATGGTGCCAATTACATCTACTTCACAGGATCATCTCAAGAATGAAAGGAGATCACAATTGGAAAGCAGCTAACACAGAGCCTGGCGAGGAGCCGATATGCAATAAACATTAGCCACCAGGTGGAAGGAGAAGGCGGCGGTCAAACTCTGCTTCTCCCTACCAGCTGTGCAACCTGGGGGGCAACTGAGTTATCCCCCTGAACCTTGGTTTCCTTCTGAATCGACTGGGGGCAATAACACCGCACCGGGTTGTGAAAATAAATGGAGAATGCATATTAATGCACCTGGTACAGTGCCCAGCACAGGATAAATCATAAATGAAGAAAATCTTCAATGATAACTTGCAGTCTTTGAGAGTCTGCCCTGCCCCACAGGCCCGTAACACTCACCTGCAGCACCTTGCCCTGGGGCCCCTCGTCAAAGAGCAGAGCCTGCTGGTACAGGGGGTCACAGGTCTTCTTGGCCACCTTTGTCTTCTTCTTGGCCAAGCAGGCCCCGTTCTCGAGCAGGTAAACCTTGATATAGGTGGCTGAGGGATGGGAGAGAGCACGATGGGAGGGGTCCAGGAGAGACCACTATGGCCTGCCCCACCCTCTAACCTCCAGGTGATCCTGGAGGAGAGCAGGGTGAGCAGGATGAGCTGGCCAGTGGACAGCAGGTGGAAGAGACTGACTCAAACACTGACTCCTCCATGCCCCCCCCCCCCCCCCCCCCTCCTCCCCGCCTGAAAAATCTTAAATGGGCTGGGCGGAGCGCTGGGAGCCAAGGGAGGGGAGGCGCTCCTCCCCCGCCCACCCCTGTTCACTGGCCTTCCAAGCAAGCCGCAACTCCAGCGTCGAGAATACTGATTTAGACCAATGGGGAGCTGAGGATTCAGTAGACCCAGAGCTCAGCTGTATACCCCTCCCTAGAAGGATCCCATTTCCAAAACCCCTCTCCCTGCTGCTCTGCCTCACCTGGGAGGGATTTAGAGCTAGGTTTGGGGGTCAAGCCCCGAGCCTCAATCACTTCCACCTCCAGCTGGCCACTCCGGTCCATGATGGCAATGTGCACGTCCCCTGCAAGGGAGAAGAGGGAGAGTCCAGGCAGAGCCAAACCAAGGGGCAGGCCGGACAGCCGCGTGCAGAATGCCCATCTGCAGAGGATGCTACAACACGGGAATGGACATGAGATGGAGAAACTGCATACACCAGAACTGCTCTTCGGAGACCACTTTAAAGCGTCTGAGAAATGCTTTGATAAGTCCCTTGGGGTGGGTGGGGGCGTGACCCTCAAGGGGCATGCTTGGGTAATAGCAAACAGCTGCCCATCTCCCATGTAAGTCTGGTTAACTGACTGGGCATCTGTTTTACTGAGCAGAATAGGCAATTTTGGGGACAGAGTTTCCTCTGTCAGGAAGAAAGAGGGGAGGCTGTGGGCTCAGCGGCTCCTCTTCACCTTCCCCTATAGAGCAGCCCTCAGCCACTCCCTTAAACGTACATCAAACAAATATTTAAAGAGTATCAGTTTGAAGAGATGCTGAGAGATGAGCCTGCCCAGAACATGAGGCCCGTCCTGGGAACGAGGACCTGCTCGCACACTTTCCAAAGGATGGAGGGAAAGCCGGCAGATTCCCTGGGAGCAGAGAACTGAGAACTCCTCACTGTGCTCCCATGGAATGGATTATCCAGCTGGGGCAAGTTCTGTGTATGGAGGCATTTCTAGATTTCTCGATTTCTGATTTCCAGAAGTCTTAGCTTTGTTCAACATGGGTTAGCAGAATTTGAAATCAGGTGTTAGACACTCGGGAAGAGCCTTCAAAGGCATGCAGAATCATAAGCCTGGTGGAGAAAAATTAAAATGTGCCAGACTTTGGGTTCAGTCACCCATTTTAGATTACCTGAGCCATCATGCAATTGTTTCTATTTGCAAACTTGAGAAGATGGCGATTTACTACTTTCAGGAGACATCCTAGAATTTATCCCCCACCCTCAAGCTATTCCTGACTTCCCCATGGGGAAGGGAGAAGGTGAGGCCTCAGGAATTAATCTGCTCCCCTGTCGCACTGTAACATCCCTAACAAGAGGAGCAAACGTAAACCTGTCCTTCCCAGTTTGGGACACCAGGGGGCACCACATGCAAATGTGCTAGGCTATGATGGCGCATTAGCCTGGTGGAGGTGGCTGGCTCTTCTCACTGCCTCCAGCCCTTGGCTGGGCCTAGGGCTGGGAAAGGTAGACTCCCCAGGCCCTTCAGAGTCTGAAAGCAAGGGCTGGGAGTTAGCCAAATCCAATCCAAGAGCCAGATGAGAGCTGATGCTCACCCTCTGAGGTCCCCATGGACCCCTCTTCCAGGAGGAGCACATTCGTGGAAGACAGGGCAGTGCAATGGGAAGAGTACTGGCTGGAATGGAATCCCTGCATGGCCTGCAGCAGGGCACTGTCTGCGCTCAGCTCCCCTGCCCGGCCTGCAGCAGGGCACTGTCTGCGCTCAGCTCC